TAACAAGGAAAGCAAAAATTTCATTTGTTTTTCTCTCATTTTATTTGAACTTTTTATGTTTATATAAAATACTTAATATTTTGCTTCTTTTGTTAAATATTAATCATTCAGAAACTGAATGTCGCGGCGAGAGAGGTTGTCATGGTTTCTAGACTTCGAGCGCCGGTTCGGGAATAGAGTTTGCAACCTCTAGCTATTTTTGCTGGACTTGTTTTTTAAAAATTACATATTTTATTAATTAAAACCAATACAATATAAATAATAATTTCTAATAATTAAATTTAATCGCTGTGAAGTTGGTATATCACTTATTTATCACTTAGACTTGCTGCATTTATACTTGTTTATCTATGACTTTGCTGATATTCAAATTGAAATCCGTATCAACTTTTAACCACCTTTAACTGTGCTTGACGAATATACTCGTCATGGAAAATTGGTGAATTTTATGTTTTGACTAGTATACTTGCCATAGGAATGAAATCTTTGACCATTGGCTATTTATACTGCATTTGTTGAAAAAAAAACTTCTCAAATTTCAAGATATTTATAGAGTACTTGGAGGCTATGCCGGAACAAAATGTAAATTATTTAAGCACTCGGGTTCCGTGTTTCGAGCGCCACAGTTAATAGTTACATCAAACATATTTATCATAAAAGTTTATCGTTAAATTTATAAAATAATTTTATTATTACCAGCGAAAAGGAAAGGTTTAAGTTTGCCCTGTTTCTCGGTTCATGAAGTCTCCATAGCAGTATAGGGCGTCGGCCGCTCAGCGCGTTATCGATTTGCGCAGAGACTGCGTTCGGAAACGCGCTCTCCCCTTAGTTTAGTATCTCATTTTCCTAGAAGAAAATACTCCTAGAATTTTGTAACTTTAATATGCTAAATAGTATTTTTGATAGTTTATTTAGTTTCGTCTGATTTGTTTTTATTTTAGATATGTTTATAATTATATATTTATCCTTGAATATCCGTAGAATTTTTGGTTAATTTCAATTCAGCAACTAAATTTCTAAATTATGTTTTCATCTTATCTATGATATGATCTTATGATACATAAATATTTAGCGAATATTTCTGGCAACTGCTCATAACAGATGGCTAAGCGCCTATCTTTATGAATAACGTCAAATAATATTAGCGATCACTATCGACGTAGGCAAATATTCTATATATTTCAAGTATCACATAAAATTTTATGCCACTGTTTTATCAGTATTTAAATTTCAATAATTTCGAAATACGCAAGACTATTTTAATTCAATACATTAAGATAGCATGTTATTTTGCCTACAGTTATTTTTGAAATATTTGGCAAAAGTCTTTGGTTAATGTCAACATGATATACGAGAATAGACACATTTATGATAATTTTAGATGTTGTTTATCAGCTGTTTAGTTGTTTCAATTGCTTGCATGCAAAAAATATTTTATTTTTAATTTAAAACGCGCTCAATTAAATTTTGATCATGCAATAAAAAGCAAATTAGAATATACTAAATCTATATTACAAGTTATATAGTTACAGTATCTTAAATGCAGGACGAATTAATGTTTTTTGATAATCATTTTCTGAGCTTTTTATTAGATCATGGTACTAAAATAAAACTTAGATGACGGCCTGATTTGTAACGTCATGGTTTTAAAATGTGGAAGGAGCAAAGTAGTCTGAGATGTTTTCATCCCACCCTTTCTGTAGTATTTATATAAAATTTTTCAACTGAATAGAATATAGTATCGTCAAAACTCCCGACTTAGTTACATGATTTATATTTGTTCTATTTTTAAGAACATTTTTTAATTCAGATATTTGTGTTCATGTGTCGTAATTTATTAAATTTTCTATAAATGGATAAAAAGGTGAACGTATGTAGAAACATATTAATATATTTGTGTAATTTTATTAATTATATTTTTTTATATTTGTTCTGCGTGAGAATACTACATATGCTGGAATTATCTATATATTTTTTATATTATTTATTTATTTATAATATGTTGTGTATTAGGGAGCTGATGAAAATGCTGCAGCTGTTGCGCCTGCCGGTGACGTGCCCGCGGCCGCTTCTCCTAAAGAAGAAATAACTAAGGATGAGACTTCTGCACCTCAGAGTGAAGTAATCAAATCTGAAGAGGCTCCAGCACCCAAAGTAACAGAGTCTACAGCAGAAAAGACAAATGAAGCCGTGAAAACACCAGTTGAAGATAAATGTGAAAAACCAGTTGCACCTATTGCATGTGAGGCAGCTTGTGAAAAACCTGCAACTTGTGAGAGTAAAGAAGTTAAAGATCCAGTACCAGCAGAACCTGTTCAGACATTAGAAGCAGCCCCAGCTGCGGAGCCAGTTGAACATGTTACATCAGCAGCTGAAAATAAAGTTGAAGAGCCGGCAAAAACAGATGTAGTTGCTGAAGTTCCAGTTCCAGAAAATGTTGAAGCCAAACAGGACCGGAATCTCTACCTCCTCCACCAGTTGAGGAACAGAAAGAGGTTTGTGATCATACATCACCACCCCCATTACCAATTTCCTCACCCCCTTCCCAAGTAACAGCTTTCGCAGAGGCTATGTTGGCATCTGATGATGTTGCAACTTCAGCTGTAATTCAGCAACAAGAAACTTCTATTTCAAAAGAAACTGCACCCTCAGTTGCCGATAAAGTAGGAGAAAGTGATATAAAAGATAAATTACCAGAACCTGAAACTGCTCATTCTGCTATTCAAGTTGTAATTCAACCTGAAACTCCAATTCTTGCACCTTCTGATTCACCTATGATAGCTAAAGATGAACAAATTGCGGTCCAACCGGTTGCATCCGAACAGCCCGCAGCTCCCCACCTCTTTCTGAACAGCCCGCAGCCCCCGCACCTCTTCCCGAACAGCCGCAGCCCCCGCACCTCTTCCCGAACAGCCCGCAGCCCCGCACCTCTTCCCGAACAGCCCGCAGCACCCGCACCTCTTCCCGAACAGCCCGCAGCCCCCGCACCTTTCCCGAACAGCCGCAGCCCCCGCACCTCTTCCCGAAAAACCTGCAGCCCCCGCACCTCTTCCCGAACAGCCAGCAGCCCCCGCAACTCTTCCAGAACAGCCAGCAGCCCCCGCACCCATTCCCGAACAGCCTGCAGCCCCCGCACCTATTCCGAACAGCCTGCAGCCCCCGCACCTATTCCCGAACAGCCTGCAGCCCCCCACCTATTCCGAACAGCCTGCAGCCCCCGCACCTCTTCCCGAACAGCCGGCAGCTGCTTCTACATGTGAACTTCCGGTAGCTACTTCTGTTATTGTTCCATCCGAAGTGCCTGACTTGGCTCAAAATGAAGTGCCTGTTCTCTCTGATGCCAATGTGATAACAACTCAAGTTGCCCCGATTATTCCTCAAACAGAAATTCCAGAAGCTAAACAAGAAGTATCAGCCACAGTTAATGAATGTGATACAATGGTGCAGGCGCCGAAAATTGATTCAACTGAAAAAGGTACTAAATCAGAAAATGCACCATTGCCTATTCATAATTTATCTTCTATGCCTCAATCTGTTTTATCTGATAAAGTTGTAGAAGAAAAAGACTCCAGCAAACAAATTGATGACGATTTACCTTCACCTCCTCCATCACCAGCATCTGGATATGAAGCTCAATTAAATACTGATTCGATAACAACTAAAACTGAATCAGGAGAAAATTTACCATCACCGCCTCCTTCTCCCCTATCAGCTCAGGACACTTCAGTTTCAGAATCTGTAGCAGCTAACACAATCACAGAGGATCAGTTGCCTTCACCACCTCAATCACCTGAGATTTCAAATCGAGATGATAAACCAAAAGAGGTAACGGTGGGATCTTTTGATGATCTCGCTCCCTTGCCGCCACCGCCTACAGTGGCAACTGAAGGGCAAAATGGCAACATTATGTGCCCTCCATCTCCACATGAAATGAGCAACGGAGTCTCTGAGAAACAGCCAGCCCAACAGGTGAAGGATTGCATCGAATCAGATTAGATTAATAAATGGGGTGATAGTTTTAAGCTGTTTGTTGCGCTGTTGTTTATTAACTGTTTACTGTTTTGCTGTTTATATACTGTACAAAGAGTTTTTAGAACTTCTTAGCCTTCAAATGTTCTATATTTTATACTTTCACCAGTAAACTAATTCAATACAGACCAATGCTATAAAGTTAATTGTTCAATAGAAGAAATTAATTTTGAGATACCGCATATAGATTTTTGATTGCTCAATAATTTAGTTTTTGATTATGATTAAAATATTTAAAGATGTTATGCTGCCTGAATTAGTTTCTAACTGCATTTGTCTGAAGTTACACTAAAAATTTTATACTAACAACCAAACATCCCACTACAATACTGGAGGATAAACATATATGTTTTAGCCCATAGAAATGTTATTAAACAAATGGATTTAAACATTTCTATTTTGAAGTTTACCATTCCTTTTCAATTCTTCTCCTAGTTTGGATTTTGATTTGTGTTTGTTTGTTTTGTCATTTTATTTTCAGATAAATAGTTTTGATGGGATATTTGAAACATTTTATTCCCTCCTTATCTTCCTGTGACCCATATTTTAAACCTAAACATCACTTGATTCATTAATGCTCATTAATTAATATAAATTGTATGATTGCATATAATATATTTTTCTCGGTATATCTAATGTGTAATACCATAATAAACATGTGTAGATATATAAGTACACGTGTCGGAGCATTTACAAATAATTTTGTATTATGTTGATGACATACAACATGCTATGCACAAGTTGCATTTTGTAGGTAGATAATTATAAGTTACATAACTTAGCTGCTATTTTTATAAGTTCAAAATATTATGGAATCTCTAATTACTTTTTATTTCATATTATAATCATATTTTATATGATTAAAGTTGTGACTAACATTATTTAACTCATTTAGCATGTTTGCATATAGAAGAAATATTCTGAAATATTTATCATTTGATTCATATCTTTTCAATACGTTATCAATATAAACTAATAACAAATTAAATGTTTATAAAATAGATTATTAACAATAATTTTATTTGATTTAGGAAAAATCAAGTGACATGGCAGAGGTTTCGGCTACTGAAAGTACGTTAAGTGATATGAGCATCACAAAAGATATTACAGAAAAAATTGCAGGCATGATGCTAGATGTAAGTACCAAATATTGAAGCATGTATAAAATGTTTGCTAAACAATATTTATATTTATTGTTTATTATTTAGGATGTTCCTCCAGTCGATATACCTGTACCAACAGAATCAACAGTGGCCATTGCTGAAAATTAAATTTAGAATTATAATAAGTGATATGACTTCTTCGTACCAAATCTAAAATTATTTCTAGGCTCAAAAATAAACTGAGACTGATTTTATTAACCACTGATTTAAATTTTAACAATAGCTCATTTTAATGCAATTAAATTTAGATTGATAATTTGCAAGTACATTAACATTTGTAATAGATTTTAATATCAATTGAAAAGTAAATTACAAATTCTGTTTAATTTTAGAAACACCAACAATAAATTGAATTTTAGATAAATTTTTATATATATGGCCTATACTCTGTCCAATTATCAGCATTCACGAGCCAGTTTTGAAAATACAATAGTTTATTTAAATGTAGAAATAAGTCACATCTTTTTGATATCAATAGAATTTTGTATAATAATCCTCAATTTATATAAATACTTAGAATAAGTATATTAGAAATATTAGAGCTACTAATATTTATGTACATTACTCTATTATACTTAAACATGAACATATGTGCTGAACACATATGTAATTGTTTGTTTGAATATATGCAGCATATGTATTTGTTGATAACAAATATTATGCGTGAAGAAAATATATGCGAACATTTATATAAAAATTACTTACATATATATGTTCCATGTATCACATACTCATCTGTTTATAGAAGTATATATTATAATAAATGCATATGTTGTTAATCAATGCATAATTTTTCACATCAGTTCACATGTTGCATAGGTAACTGTGATTTTTTTTATTAATAGTTTAATTTGAAATGATGTTTCAATACAGAAGCTTCCAATTTCTTGAAATCAAATTCAATTAGATCGAAATAATGAAGTGATAGTTTATAAGTCCATGTTAAAAATGTAATTATTAACTGGGTCTTTGAGAACTTAATGTCAATTTATAACTCGTGGCAGCTCAAAATTGATATTCTTCCATTAAAAAAAAAATCAATAGTTGAAAAATGTTAATTTTAAATTTTATATTGAAAATGATCGTAACTAATTCTTGCATTAATATAATTGTAAATTTATACTTTCTGTAATGTATTACATATAGGCTCACATAAGATTATATAAAGAATGTGTGAATGTGATTATGAAATATCTTTAAATATAAAATTTCTGAAACTCGAACATTATTTTTATTTAATTTTTTTTAAAATAAATTATTCAAAACCAATTTTAATGATTTAATATCATATGTGGAATAAAAAATGCAGGGATTTATTTTTATGAAATTTTCAAAGATACCTGTCCATGGACTTTTTGACTAAATTTTTGTGGATTTATTTTTATGGAAATAAAACCAAGGCTAAGAGGATGTTTAACAATTAAAAATATTGATTGAAAAATTGAAAAATAAGTTTGAAAGACAGAAAAAAACAATTATTTGTGCAATTTGGATTTGTTTTAAATGCATAACAAAGATTCACTCAGTACTCAATATTTATATATATAATGTGAAGAAAATGTGCGTATAGTTAATAATAATAAAGTATCTTCACCTTTGCACCATGCCGGAATCAACAATTTTGATTTTCCCGCTTTATTCCCGATCGTTATTCGTTCTTTATCAAATTCAAAAACGTTTCTGATCTAACTTCAGCATGTTCCAAGTTGGTTTGACAGTTTGCGTTAGTGACAGTTCTGTTCTTTCATTGCTTGCTGTCACATTCTTTGCTTTATTACACGTCATTCGATATTTTAGCATTAAATCTTACTAAGTAATATTTTTCTAATTTTAAATATTTTTTGGACATTGCTGATAGTGATTACAGATAATGCTGCTTATTGTATTTTGGTGCATTAATTGTTCATAGAGATAAATACAGAGTTCACAATTCACATTGCGTTTTCACTAATCCATATTTCGCTTATTTATCAGTAAATTTGAATAATGCAATGCCAGCAAGACGTCGATTTGCGGGCTTTGAGCCTCAGCAGTCTTCAATATTGATTGAGAATAATCACAATGGACAGAATTTAAGTCAAGGATTCCACAGCTTCTCAAACTCTTTTATTGCTAATGAGAGCAGTTCCTACGATAATTCTAATTCAGCTGTGAAACTTACTAATCCAGAAACAGAAGTAATCATGACTTCCAGAGATCGAACCAACGAGTTTGTTAAAGCAATTCAGTCTTTGCAAAATAGAAATATATCGAGGGCTGTAGGATTCAGGGATGCTCGAAAAGCTAAAGTTATCCAGAGTTATTCAGAATTTATGGCCTTAGCTAGACATGTTGGGAGAAATATTGCAAGCACATATGCTAAATTGGAAAAGATGACCATGTTAGCTAAAAGAAAATCTTTATTTGATGATCGTGGGTCAGAAATTCAAGAATTAACATATATAATTAAAGGTGATTTAAGCTCCTTAAATCAACAAATTGCTAAATTACAAGATGTTTCAAAATCACAGGTTTGTTAATAACAAATGAAGAATAGACAATTAATAATAATATTTAATATTACAAGTTAATAATAATGATAATTCCTTCTAGAGAAACAATTCATCTGGAAAACATTTAAATTCACATTCTTCAAGTGTAGTGTTGGCGCTACAGTCAAAATTGGCTACAATGAGTAACAACTTTAAACAAATACTTGAAGTGCGAACAGAAAATTTGAAACAACAGAAAAACCGAAGGGAACAGTTCAGTCAAAGAAGTGTTAATACAGCTATTCCACCAAATGTCAACAGAGCGCATCAAGGTAATTATTTGTCCTACAAAAATAAACATTTACAAGAAATAGTTGACTTTTATAATAAAAATTATAGGTAGTTTACTCTTAGCAAATGAGCAAGTAAATATAGATCTGGAGGGCAGTTCATCACAACCTTTGCTGCCAGTTAATTCTCAGACACAACAAATGCTGATGCAAGATGAAACAGATAATTATCTGCAAAATCGAGCAGAAACAATGCAAAATATAGAAAGCACAATTGTAGAGCTCGGAGGGATATTCCAGCAATTGGCTCATATGGTGAAAGAGCAAGAAGAAATGGTTGAGAGAATTGATCACAATGTCCAAGATGCTGAACTCAATATAGAAGCAGCTCACACTGAGATACTAAAATATTTTAAAAGCGTCACAAATAACAGGTGGTTGATGATAAAAATATTTGGTGTACTGATATTCTTTTTTATATTTTTTGTAGTATTCATGGCATGATAGAAAGATAAATAGTAAATGAAACATATATATATATATATATATATATATATATATATATATATATATATATATATATATGTTGTATAAATGTGCATGTGTATATAAAAGTGTTATATTCACATACATTTGAAAATTGTAAATACATTTTTTTATGCTGAAATTTTATTTTGACGAATGTTAAAATTTGTTACATAATGGATATATAAATAAATTCAATCTAATATAATTGCAATCCTTTGCTTTTATTCCATACATTATTTAATTATAATAATGATTGAATTAAATATATGTAATATAGCAAGGGTTGCAGCATCAAGTTTTTTTGGTGATTGAAGTCTCTGAATTGAAAATTGGAAGAAGTTGGAGCAAAAATATGATCTTTCGTCGACGCTTTAGACTTAGGTCTAGCCGTTTCTTTGAAAAATCTAAAACAGTGCAAAATTTTTCGTCAACGTTTTCGACAAAAATGCTGATTGGATTTTGAAATTTCAAAAACCGTTCTGAAGATATCATTTGGCTGTTCAGCCTGACCAGCTTCTTAATTTTTTGCCTTAAGGCAAAATACCACTTTCACCTAGTAGAGTTTGTTCACTTGGAAAGTCCAATAAGATTCCCATATGATTCCCACGACATTGTAAAATTACTACAATGTTTGTAAAAATACTACAATGGGTGTAAAATTACTACAATGTTTGTAAAAATACTACAATGGGCGTAAAAGTACTACAACATTTGTAAAAATACTACAATGGGTGTAAAATTACTACAATGTTTGTAAACAATACTATATTGGCGTAAAAATACTACAACATTTGTAAAAATACTACAATGGGTGTAAAATTACTACAATGTTTGTAAAAATACTACAATGGATGTAAAATTACTACAATGTTTGTAAAAATACTACAATGGGTGTAAAATTACTACAATGTTTGTAAACAATACAACAATGGGCGTAAAAATACTACAACATTTGTAAAAATACTACAATGGGTGTAAAATTACTACAATGTTTGTAAAAACACTACAATGGATGTAAAATTACTACAATGTTTGTAAACAATACTACAATGGGCGTAAAAATACTACAACATTGTAAAAATACTACAATGGGTGTAAAATTACTACAATGTTTGTAAACAATACTATATTGGCGTAAAAATACTACAACATTTGTAAAAATACTACAATGGGTGTAAAATTACTACAATGTTTGTAAAAATACTACAATGGATGTAAAATTACTACAATGTTTGTAAAAATACTACAATGGGTGTAAAATTACTACAATGTTTGTAAAAATACTACAATGGGCGTAAAAATACTACAACATTTGTAAAAATACTACAATGGGTGTAAAATTACTACAATGTTTGTAAACAATACTACAATGGGTGTAAAATTACTACAATGTTTGTAAACAATACTACAATGGGCGTAAAAATACTACAACATTTGTAAAAATACTACAATGGGTGTAAAATTACTACAATGTTTGTAAAAATACTACAATGGGTGTAAAATTACTACAATGTTTGTAAACAATACTACAATGGGTGTAAAATTACTACAATGTTTGTAAAAATACTACAATGGGTGTAAAATTACTACAATGTTTGTAAACAATACTACAATGGGCGTAAAAATACTACAACATTTGTAAAAATACTACAATGGGTGTAAAATTACTACAATGTTTGTAAAAATACTACAATGGGTGTAAAATTACTACAATGTTTGTAAAAATACTACAATGGGTGTAAAATTACTACAATGTTTGTAAACAATACTACAATGGGTGTAAAATTACTACAATGTTTGTAAAAATACTACAATGGGTGTAAAATTACTACAATAGGTATAAACAATACTACAATGGGTGTAAACTTACTACAATGTTTGTAAACAATACTACAATGGGTGTAAAAATACTACAATGTTTGTAAAAATACTACAATGGGTGTAAAATTACTACAATGTTTGTAAACAATACTACAATGGGTGTAAAATTACTACAATGTTTGTAAAAATACTACAATGGATGTAAAATTACTACAATGTTTGTAAAAATACTACAATGGGTGTAAAATTACTACAATGTTTGTAAAAATACTTGTTTATCTATGATTCCCACTATATTTAGTTCACTGTGAACTTCGAATCAATTCAAAAAATTTGGGTGGTAGAATTGCGAATCATTCTAGGTGTTTTATTGCTTGTCAAATTAGCACATTGTCCGGGTTTGTTCCGTATCAACAAAAACAAATATGGCGTGATATTGCATCATATAATAATTTGACACTATAGTCCTGTTATCTCTTAAAATAAATTTGATAAATTATCATCTAACAAGATTCTGAACTGGAAGAATAAATAAGAGTGCGGATTGTATATCTTTGTTGTTTAGTCGTTGTGACAGTTTTACAAATAAGTGAATGATTTACTGAATTTTTTGAATATTTGTTCGATAACAATACAATTTTTAAACATGGCGTGATTAGTAAAAGTGATTTTTTAAACATGTTCAGAAATCCGTAATCTCATAACTTATGTGCTCATAACCTAAATTCAAAAATATTATCAAACATGCTCCTAGATAACGAGACATAAGCATTTCAGAACATTCCCGAAATGAATTTGTATACACGTATACAATTCAAGGATTTGTTTCCTTCTAAACTATCAATAATAATATTTATATCATATATATTATTATTTATCAGTCAGGGTAAGATTTGAATTTTGATTTCATAAGAATCTTTTATTTAACTTTTTAGTTATATCTGAGACTTTTTAAAGGAGTACTTGTAACTTATTCACAAGGAGAAGATAATCATTATAAATACAACACCATTTTAGTAGTATCAATCACAGAAGCAGTTAAATTATTCGTTTCGTGTGGACTTTATTGCAAAGAGTATGTATAAAACCATTACTAAGTTTTATATCTGTATTTTTATGATTGATAATCATTTTATAGCCATACTATACAAGAGTTATGCACGGGTATAAGAAAAGATGTATCAGTATTAAAACTGTATTTGGTGCCTGCTTTATTATATTGTTTTTATAATAATCTTGCCTTTCTAAATCTTTCCACATTTGATCCAACAACTTATTATCTTTTACTACAACTAAGAGTAGTTATAACTGGAATATCGTTTCAGGTAATAAGGTAATTGATTTTTACTGTATCCTGTCAATATTTAATGTGACTTTTGTTATTTTAGGTGATTTTTAAAAAATATTTGTCCCGCTGGCAATGGTTATCACTCGCACTTTTAACAGTGGGTTGTTTAATAAAACAAATATCATTTGACAGTGATAAAGATACTCAAACTTTTCATGGAAAAAACACCAGCGGTTTTGATTTTAGTGTAAGTGCCATATTAATTCTAGTGCAGACGTTTTGTTCCTGTTTCGCTGGTGTTTATAATGAGTATATTCTCAAAGGAAAAGGCTGTAACGTTAATATATTTATACAAAATGTATATATGTATTTAGATTCTATAATGTGCAATGTAGTCGTACTATTACTTTCGGGTGACTTTTCTAATGTACTTAATCCATCAACTTTTTTCAATGTATTGTCGTTTAAAGTGATTATTATTATAATCAACAATGCTGCAATTGGAATTGTAACAAGTTTCTTCTTGAACTATCTGAATTCTATTCTGAAAACTTTTGCAAGTGCTTTAGAGTTAGTGTTTACAGCAATAATTTCTTATATATTGTTTGGAATTCCAATATATTTAAATACAATCATTTCAATTGCTACAGTTTCTTTTGCAGTATTCTTGTATTCGCAGAATCCTGTGGTAAACTTAAAACCAAGTTCTGATATTGATAAAGAATCAGAAGAAAAATTGTTATGTGATGATGAAGAATGTGTTTGAAAAAAATTATTTTGTATTATATACATCACATATATAATGAATTCTACTTTCATTTTACTCATTAACATAAAATTATCCTTTTATACTTGATATTATATAGAAATAACCATGAAAATATTGAATATTATAAATAATAACGAAACTTTAAATAAGTTTGATAATGTGATGCACATAATAAAATTATGTTAATAAAATGTAGACTAGACAATTTTTTGTGCAAAAAATTGTTTATTCATATGTATTGTTACTTCAAAATGAATAACTTATATAATCGGCTTTACAGGCATGAATATATATGCATTTTATTATGAATATGTTTTCTATAATAGAATATTATTATTCAAAATAGAATATATTCATATTTTATATAAATAAATATTATGCATTTGTATTTCACTAATATAAATATATTTAATATATGCTAAATCAGTTTCTTTCATTTTTGCAGCACATTGTTAATGATTTCTGATATGAAGTATTTCAAATTTTAAAATATTTCAAACTTGTTTTGGCTACTATATACTAGTCAGAAACTACTAATAGATAAAATGAAGAAAATAAGGTAAATTTACAAAACTTTTACTATTGGTAATTATAATTGTAAATTTTAATGAATTTTTATAATTGCATACGACTTTTTGTAGACCTTTAATATTTTATTAAAGATTATTCCAGGTTTCATCAAAATTGTCAGAAAATTTTTAACAATTTATTATGAAGAAACGGCCCGGCCGATCTTTGCTAAAAACTAGTCAATACGATTTCGAACTGGTATCTTAAAAACAGTTTTTGAATTTTCGAAATCGGTTCAGGATTTTTTGAGAAAACGTTGATGAAAATATTTGTACTCTATATATATATATATATAGAGAGAGAATTATCTGATATATATATATATATATATATATATATATATATATATATATATATCAGATAATTCTAAAGAAACGGCTCGACCGATCGTCCCGCAAAACAAATCAACAATTTTTCCAACTTTGGTCTCAAACGATTGAGAATGACTCGGAACGTCGAGAAAACATAAAATTAGAAAGTCGATTTTTTGGTAAAGCATAAAACGTCTCCTTTGGGAAGATAATAAGATGTTTTGCTAAATATCAAAGAATTATAAAATCATGTTTTTGATTTAATTGTTAAGTGTTATTTTACACAAAAAATTGAAAATGGTGTTACCGTACATATATGTTGTGGCAGAATCCCGTTAAGACGATTATTCTTGGTATAATTTTCCGCATAATACGCCACTCCGCGCCGGTTCCTGTACTTTGAAACATATCTTTTCAAATCGGTTCAAGATTTTTGGAAAAACGTTGACGAAAATGATTATACTTATCTGATAATTATAAAGAAGCGGCCCGACTGATGTCGCGCAAAAAAAAAATTAAATTTTTTTTGATGATAACAAACTTCATCTTCGGAAAGCTGATAAGATGTTTTGCTGTTACAGTAGAACCTTGTTAAGACGATTATGCTTGGCCTTACAATATTGTGATTTTTTGGTCCGGTCTCTCTGAAATTGTTTTGACGAGATTTTACTGTATTTTGTATATTTAAAAATGTGTCTAGTAACTAAGGTTATTTGAACAATAACACGTTGTTTCTGAGTTTGCGCAATAAGTTCGAGATTTTACAACGCCAGGTTCATGCCTAGAAATAAGGTGGTCGATTCTTCCGACTGCTGACTTCATTCGGCGTGCGATTCGGTTGCCGCTAACAAGTGCGATGTACGGTAACACATTTTCAAGTTTTTGGGTAAAAAAACTTAACAATCCAATCAAAAACATGATTTTATAATTTTTCGATAACGTACAATACGTGGAAATCGTTTACGACAGAGCTTTTCGTGAAAGTGAGTTAAAGTTCTTAAGTTTTAGTGTGTTTGAATCGAAAGTGTTTGTGAAGTCTATATGCAAATTTGTAGGTATCGAGTTTTAAAAAATCAGTGCAGGATATCTTTATATCACAGAGTAAATTGTTTGTGTGAACAATTTTGATTTCATTAAAAATATTATAAATTAGTAAAATTTTAATAAAATAATTAAATTGTTATTTTAATTGTGATGAAGAAGATGATTTCATGTTTAATTATTAAATTGAAATATAATACCCACTAATATTTTTATTTAAATTTATCATATCTAAAGTTTCATAATTCTTAAATGTAAAATTTTAATATAATATACTATAAATGTATAATTTTAATATAAATAGCAACATGTGTGTGAAAATAAAATTAGGATGCCGGTAAAAAAAATTACATGCCTGATATTAAATATTTATGAATTTTCTCAATATGTTCAATTGTTAAAAGTGATTTTATATAAAATTAAATAATAATTTAGTGTAATTAATTATATCTGAAGTTTTACCATACTTTTTATAAAATTGAAACATAAATTGCACCGTAAAAATATAGAATTTATTAAATTTAGGTAATAAAAAAAATTAGTTTTTTAAATTATTTCCATTAAATACATGTATTAATATCAACAAGGTGATTTTATATTTTAATTTGATACAATTTAAATATCAAACTTACTAATAAATATTTTTCAGTGTAATATTTATCATGCCTATAATTTTATCATACTTGAGTGTTATAAGAATTGAGAATTATAACAAAAAAATTATAAATAAATTTAAAGAATAAAATTTTTGAAGTATAGGTACCGGCTACAAAATAATTACAGTTTTCTAAATTATTTCCATGTATAACTTTAAATATACAATTCAAAAAGATTTTTCCAATACGTTTAATTGTTAAATTTGTATTAAATTATTAAACTTAAATATAATACAAAACGACATTTTTCAATACCTATATTATGCCTATAGTAATTTATAATACTTATAACAACAAAAATACAATAGGTAAAAACTATAATAAAATAACTATAAGAAAATAATTACAATAACAATAATAATTATTATAAAATATTAATATTAAATATATTTAAACAATTTCACCAATATTACAGAGGATATTTTATGTTTATTTTGTACATTTAAATATAATACGAATCAATACTTTTCAGAACCTAACTTTTTTTTTAATTGCAATAAACAATATAATAGATCAACGTGTGAGTGAAAATAAAATGTCAATTGGTGGCGTCAATGTGCTGGCAAAAAATAATTATGGCTTCCTAAATTATTTTCCTTAAATATATAAAATTAAATTAAATTTGTCCGATAGGTTCGCTTTAAAAAGAGATAAAATATGTTGTTAATTCAATTCCCTCTATTCAAATTGACTATTACCAGCCTGGGTTGTAGGGCACTGTCCCCAATTCAGCGGCACCTCCGATAATGTTTTTCCGGCGCGTTTTCGGTCGAAAACCCGGCGAAGAGACGGATACCGAAATGTCGTCCCAGCGGAACAGGGCAGTGACCAGGACGCCCTCGGCATTGGGCTCGGCCAGGGCTGCAGCCACCACCAGCGTGCTGCAATTGACGCCACTTTGGGAGCACGTTGTTAGATTCGGTAAACTGCCACCGAATTTGGACCCTTGGGAGATATTTTCGGAGCTGATTGAGAGGCTGCGCGACCCGGAATGGCAGGTAAGAAAATAATATTATATGTATAAAAAATAGGTTATATTAATAGATTGTTAATAGAATCGAAAGGCACTTACATTCAATATATCAATCTAATATTCCGAATCATATTACAAAATTAAACAAGTATTTTTTAATTTTTTGACCAAGTTGTCAATATAAATAGAAATTAACTCAACTAAATATTTCTAAATATTATAATGTTATATTGTTGTTTGAATAGTTTAGTTATTAAATTCATTTTGAATGTTATAATTCCTGATAATAGTCGTACATATCATTTGATGGGCTGTTGTAATTTTACTAACAAATAATAGCAATAAACTCAATTTCAACTTCTACTTTACTAAAATTCGTGAATCCTAGACAAAAATTTGAACCCAGCTAGAAAATCGGGGCTGTCTCTACCAATCCGATACGTATAGTCACCTTAAATTTTACCAATAAATTTTTGTTTATATTAATCATTTTCCTTAATTGTTTAATATCTATATTTCCAGGTTCGTCAACATGCATTGCGGGTAGTTGTCGACTTGATTCCAGCCCTTGGTGCAGATTCTGATAAGAACGTTTCCCCGAATCGTTCCCTATCTGGTTGCAAATCTCGGCCACGCGGCTCCTGCTGTTCGAAGGTAAATCAAAACTAATAAATACTGTTAAATAATTATAATTAATATCCAAATTATCTAATGTACCTGTAATTTTTATGCAGAGGTGCACTGGATGCATTATCAGCTCATCTACATCATAGTCCAGATCCTGCTGGTGCTTTTCGTAGAATTCTTGATTCAGATGCCAAAAGAGACTTTAAGTTTGCCAGGAAATTAAAGTATAATCATAATGATAGTCTGATGTCTGGAATGTCCACAAATAGCGAGGATGATAATAGTAGCATTGAAGGTTTGCACGAAATATTAATACTCAAAATATTTGCCAAAGATTATGTATTCCAAATTTTACAATTAGCCTTATTATTTTAATACCTATCGATATTTTTATATTTTCTCAGGCAAAAACAACTTAGAATTGGACGATTCCTCCTTGGGCCTGATGCTGGCATTACCAGCCCTAGTTCATCCTCATTTAAATTCCGAAAATCCATCAGTGGACGAAGCGGTTGTGAATCAAGCCATATCCGCCTTAGATGCTAAATTAGGAGCTGCTGGTCAACAAGAGATTGCTTTACGAGTTTTGGCAAAATTACGAGATGAATTAGGCGACAGGAAATTCCAGAGACATCTCTCATCTTGCAGAAGTGATAGTAGAAGAGATTTTGATTTATTATGTCAGGTATGTGTATATTATTAGTTGGATGAATTTTTGAGATATGCATGTTTATATATTGTCATTCATTCATTAGGTATATGGAATAGCATCTAATAATATGAATAACAATAACAACTCTAGTATGATAAATATACCGT